ATGACGCACTGGCTGTCGACATGAGTATTGCCCGCATGGGCGCCGGGGGGGGGCAGGGCACGCCACGAAAATAAACGTGGCACCCCGCAGTTGCGGAAGAGAGTCAGGGGGTTGCGCTGCTCCCCTCGTACTCAAGGACCACATCCCAGACGTTAATTTCGAGCACCCAGAAGAGTGTCGAAACAGTGTCGAACGAGTATCGCCTCCCAGGGCCCGACACGAGAAGACCCTCAAGTGTCCGTACTTTCTCCTGGTGCTCGAATCTACTTCTGGTGGTCAAGGCTAGAGCGATCTGGAACATCATAAACCAGGAGGCGGCGGGGACGTCGGCAGCCTGCAAGGCTCTGAAGCAGCCTGGCGCAGGCGCCAAATTTCTACAGATTGTACAGCGAACTCGCCGCAAGCGCCGAGGTTGTCGTTACAGACACTCTCCGACGAACTCTGCACGTACCTTCAGGGAGGGCCGCGGTGTACAACGTCGCTGGCTCTCAATGGTGATTCGAACACCACCACCGTCAACTGAGGCCCAGGGGCAAACCATTGGTCGGGGAGACGTAAGACTCGGGTTCAGGGGACTCGGGTTGGCCTGACGCGGCCAGCATGAAGATGACGAGACCCAATCTGAAATGTGACGCGACCTCCTGCTGCAAACATCCAACGAACACCGGACCGTCCGAATCCGGGACGCGCTCACCAACAAAAGGTGGGCAAACCCGAGTTCCGGCTCACTCGAGTCTTGCGTTTCCCCGCATTGGAGAAGGTTCTCAGAACCAAACATCCGAATCACACACACCCTAGCACGTGACGGATTGAGGACGAAAATGAAAAAAATAGACAAACCAAAATTGAATACAGATTCAAGAATATGGAAAAATCGTCCCCTGATTAGTTCTTGACTATTTTTAAAGATTCCTCCTGTAGAGGGCCAGACCCGACTTAAATGTAGGGCTCGGAAGAGACACCGAAAGCGGCGAAAAACCGCGGGACTCGTCTCCCCAGGGACTCGTTCTCTGGTGGCCAGGAGCCCAGAAAAGTTGCCATCTCTTGGAAGACAGACTCGAAATTGCCCAGGGACCCACAAATAAGTAGCCACAAAATCCCACGCTTCCCCAACAGTTGTTTCCACATGTTCTGGAATTCCGCCTCCCTCTCCACATCCCGTGTGTTCTCATACTTGCCTTGGAATCGGCGGTTATCTGTGTCTGTGAGCTTTTTGCTCCCCCTACATGAGGCTTTGATTCCCGCCGGCCTCGGCCGGCGGGGGCGCAAGGAGGAGAAGGAGGACGACGAGGACGAGGAGCAGAAAGGGGAGGAGGAGGAGGAGATCGCCCTGGGGGTCCCGAGGAAAAAGGTGGGCCCCCCCAGAATGCTCGGAAGTCCGCCGGCCTGCGGAGGAGGCTTCCTGGGCCTTCCCCGGAGACGCAGAGAGCTCCTCATACCGCCGAGAGGCTTCTTTCTGAGAGACCCCGCCCCCTTCCGAAAAATCCTCCTCCCTCTCACTCCCCCCCGGCACGCCGCCGAGAGGGGCAACGATAGGGGGGAGTGGCGTAGGGGAGGGAACATCGACCTGGAATCGGCGCCGCATCGACCATAGACTGGCCACAGGCCCCCGCTAATATAAGTCCGCACCTTTCTGGGCAGACTGGGGCAATCGGGCCCGTGTCGGCGATCAATGAACGATTGGGGGTCGATGCTTCCCCCTTATCAGAAGAAGAACAAACTGCGCGCACTACTTGATCTGCGCCGGACCGGAGCGCGCCAGGGGCGGCGCCAAAGGCGCCGCTTGGGGGTGCCACAGCGCGGATGCAAGACACCCGCGAGAAGCTCCAAAAGTTTGTGTTTACAGCGTTGTTTCTTCCTCGGCCTATGCCCGTCCCCCCTATCGCTGCCCCTGATTTGCATCCCCGCATACAGCCCCCGCATGATTTGCTGAAGGAGTGCACGTGTACATGCATGCCCGTGTTGCGCTCCCGTAGCCGCCAAGGCTCGAATCTAGAAATCGATCCCAGACATGATCGGGGATGGACAGACCCCCCTTTAGTAAAACGCGGTTTAGTGAAAACGACCTGAGGCCCAAACCTGGCGGGCGCAAGCCTGGAAAATAACGGCCACGGCGCCCTCTCGAGAACCGAAAACGGACAACTCACTAATCGACGCGTCACTGTTGGGGTTCTGTCCACCCCCGATACATGCATGCCTGTGTTGCGCTTCCGTAGCCGCCGAGGCTCGAATCCAGAAGTCGCTCCCAGACACGAACTAGAGCCGGGCATTACAAAGAGCTGCGTATCCACAGCTTGGCGGCAGCTCTTCATTCTCGGCGATCCCGCGCACGATGGGAACATCGGCCTGTGCCCCTCCCCCCTGCCTGCAACGTTGGCAGCGCCTGCCCGGCCCGCCCAGGCCCCCCGGGGTGACTGGGGGGCTGGGGGGCCCGAGCTCGCAATAGTGAAGGGGCCCTGGGAAACACAAATAAATGCACACAAATAACCGGATTCCCAATCTTTTCCCGTATTCTCTTGGTTTTTGTCTTCCCCCCCACTTCCCATATCTTCCCATATTTTCTGGGGATCGTCGATGAATTGTGTCTGTGTGTTTTTTACCCTCCTGAAATAAGCGCATCCCTGGGCCCAAGCCTGCTGTCCCCGCCGCGCTGGCCCACAGGCCCTCTGGGGTGGCGGCGCTCGCGGTGGGGCGGTCAAAGCCCCGAGGGGCCTGCCTACACTCTGATGGTCCACTCTGATGATCCCCCTCTGCCGCTGTCGGGCGAGAGAAAGGGGGGGATCGGGAAAGGGGGGTTACGAAATTTGCTGCATGCAGCTGGTTTCGGCCCCACCGAGGGGCCCATTCCTCGATACGTGGCCGCCTCCGGCGCCGGGAGGCGCCGGGAAAATCAGCTCTACGTGAGCCGATGCTCAAAGCCCCCCTTTGCTATGTCCCCCCCTTTCGCCCGACCCGACGCTGCCCCCTGAGTCGAGCGACGAGGTGAGGCCGAGGAAGAGGAGGAGGAGGAGGAGGAGGAGGAGGAGGAGGAGGAGGAGGAGGCCCCTGCACACGACGGCGCACGGCGGCGCCACGCCGCGCGCCGAGAGAGAGGAGCGGGGCGCGCCCACGCGCGCGAGAGCGAGCCTGCCGCGGGGCGCCTCTCTGCGCTCGGGGGGCCGCGCGGCCGAGCGCGCTCCGCCGCGTCGCCGCCCCCCCAACGTCCGAGGCCCGGGCTTAGGCTTGCGGATGCCATGGCAATGGGCACTCTGACAATCCGATCATTGAAGTAAAGATGTGCTCAACATGGGTAGAACATGTTACGGAAACGTTTCGAACACGTGTTTACATGTGTTTATTGTATGTCTTATTTTTTGTTAAACAAATGTTTGAAACATGTTTCAGACATCTGGGAATTATTTGGCAGCATGCTTCCTCTCCATTAGTCGATTTCCACAAAATTAGGTCGGGCGTGTTCTCCTACAAGCGGATGCTGGAAGGAGAAACGGAAGACATAGAACAATCGTCCCCAGACTATTTGCTTGACACTCTGTTTTTGTTGAATGCTCCCCCTGTAGCGGGGCATGCCCGACACAGGCCCAGGTAAGAACGGTTGCTTGATGGGCAGATCTTCTGCCTTCAAAAGGAGCTTTCCTGCCGAACCCGTGGCCACCTCGCCGCCAGGGCCTGGGGTTATGCCGGGCCTGTCCCCCCACAGGGGGGATTTTCGACGAAAAATAAAAAAATACCCCAAAAAGGTGCAACAAAAAAATGCTAAAAAATAGTCCCCAGACCATTCTTAAATAGTTGTTTTTACGATGTTGGGGGTATTTTTCATTTTTCGTCGAAAATCCCCCTGTCGGGGGGCAGGCCCGACTTCAGCCTGGGGGCGAAACGCCCAGGAGTCCAGGAGGGCATCGCCGGGGTCGGGCGGCCGGGTGGCCAGCTGCACCCTTGCTCACAGCCAGGAGGGCAGCGGAGACAGCACGCGGCGGCCGCAGCGGCGGAGGCGGCGGAGGAGGAGGAGGAGGAAAAGGAGGAGGGGGGGGGAGGAGACGAGGAGGAGGAGGCGGAGGAGGACGAGGAGGAGGAGGCGGAGGAGGAGGAGGAGGAGGATTTGGAGAAAGAGGGGGAATGCCCTCACAACGAGCGCAGTGCTAGCACTGTCCAACAGGGAACCGGCGGACACGCGGCAGGGAAGCCACCAAAACTCTGCACCGCCGGGAGGTCAGCGGAAAGCATGCGGCCACGTCTCGCTCGGCCAGGGGCGCGACAAGAGCCCCCTCCTCCCCCTCCTTCTGCCAATTTTCCTCATTATCCTCCTTTCGTTTCTCTTTCTCCAATCCCTCCTCCTCCTCCTCCTCCTCCTCCTCCTCATCCTTTTCCTCCTCCTCCTCCTCCTCCTCCTCCGCCGCTCGCATCCCCAAATGCACATTTGATTTCCCCGCATATATATATATATAAGTATATATATATGTGTGTATATATATGTATATATATATATATATATATCATTCTGTCTCTCTCACTCAACCTGTATGAATACATACTTATACACACATCTGTCATGCTGTTGTCTGTTTGTTTATTTCTCTTTCTCTCTCACTCTGTCACTCCTTTCCCATCTGTCTCTTTCAATATGAACATGTATTCTCTCTCTTTCGCTGTCATGTTCTCTCAGTATCTCTCTCTCTCTCTCTTTCTAGTTATCGCTCTCGTCCAGCTGTTGGTCACATGCTGTATATATCTGTCTCTCTGTCTCTTTCACTCTAGTTCGGTTTCTCTCTAGGCTGGTTTGTTTTATAGATCTCTCTATATATATACATATGATACACATCACCCTCTCTATCATACTATTTGTCCTCCTTTTTTTTTGTGTTTTTTCTCTCTCTCTCTCTCTCTCTCTGTTTTTCCTGTTGCGTCTCGCCATCCCCCACCATTCGCGCCGCCTGGCCGGCCCGCGGTGGTGGCAGAAACTCGCCAACCGCCAGCGCATCCGGCGCCAGGAGCGCCCGGCCCATGCGGCGCGCGCGGCAGGAGAGAAGGGGGGAGAAGGAGGGGGCGAAGGGAGGAAAGAGGGGGCGTGGATGAGGGAGGAAAGAAGAGGGGGGGATCGGAAGGACATGATGATGACGCGAATGCCGATGATAATGAGCACAACGATGCTGATGAATATGGAAAGCGAAAGTGATGAGCGCGGGCGGTAACGATGGCAACGACGATAGCGGGGGGACGGCGACGACACATGCGATGAAACTGATGGCAATGATGATGTGATGGTGGCGAAGACGATCACAACGACACCACGACGACGACGAAGACGGCGGCGGCGACGACACGGATTGATGTTCATGACACAGGGATGATGTCCATACGAAGATGATGCTGATGATGGCGATGCTCATGTCTGGCCCCGACCGGACCGATGGTGGCGCCCATGGCGTTCGACGAACGGCGGGTGCGAAGGTACTTAACTGTATCAGTGCTCGAATTAAGAGCCCTGTGTCCGCACTCGTCACCACACTTGGTTTCCGATGCGCGAACACTTGCCCATGCAGAGGGATGGGGAACGATCGGCAAGTAGACCGGCGACCGCACCGATGAAACCGCCAGCCCCCGTGGCCCCAAAAGGGCCGGGGCGAGGCGGCGGTCCAAATACATGATCGAAAACCTGCGGCTCGCAGGCAAGGACAGAGCAAGGACCCGCAAGCGCCTTGTCGCCAGCACTTTTTCACCCATCGAAGGAGCCCAGCGGCAGAGAGCAGCAGTCGAGGAGGGGAGGGGGGGGGAGGGGAGGGGGGCCGGGGCGGCACGCGGCCCACGCGCAGGCCGCCCGAAACGAATTAGTCCGTCGGCCCCGGGCGCTGCACCAGGCGCCTGCGCAGCGCTGCGCGCCAACCGGCCTCGCGGCCGCCAGCCCGGACCGTGGGCTGGAGCAGCAAGGCTGCCGCCCGCGGCGGCAGCGCGGCGGCCCAGCCCGCACACGGCGTCGCCGCCAGCCGCGGCCACGCGGGCGCGGAGGCTCCGCAGTGCAGGCAGGCCACCCAGCCGGGGCCCTGCGCGGCGGCGTGCAGCTGCCAAGCCTGCCCCGTGAACAGAGCGGCGCAGCGGGCCCTGCTGCCGCAGCCGTCCGCACTGCCTGGCGGCGCCGGTGGTGCTGCGGCAGCCCCGGCCGCTGGGCCCCGCGGCGGCACCCCTGGCTGCGCGCCGAGCACGCCCCGCCGGCCGCGGCGCCGGCGCTGCGGCCTGCCCGCCCGAGGGGCCACGCCGCTGGCGCTGTGGTTCACTTTCAGCGCCGCCAGCTCCACCTCTGGCAGCAGTCGCTGTGCGATGCCCAGGGCGCGCAGTCGGTCGTTCCGCCCAGCGAGCAGGACGGCCGGCGGGAGCCGCGCGCGCGCGGCTGCGCCCGCCAGCCGGTCAGCGGCGGCGTTCCCAAGGCGGTCCTCCTCAGCCATGCCTCGGGCCCTGGCGCTGGCCGCGTCGAGACGCCCTTTGATCCATCTCGCTTCCAGGTGCCCAGTCTGGCAGTACGGGGCCAGCAACTCCCAAACCTCCGCGTGCGACCACTCCGCTGGGGACGCTCCCGCCTGGAGCGCCGCGACCCCGTTGCCGACGAACCGCGAATCGGTTATCACCTCGACGGGGCCTGCGGCGAGGCTCACCGCGTGCAGGGCGGCCGTGCTCCGCCCTCTGCGCCGTCTGGGGCCCGTCGACCGGCCCGCTGCTGTCCTGTGGGCCGGCAGGGCCTTGTCGCCAGCACGTGTGTCAGTCCCCCGCAAGAACCACAAGGTCGGACACCGAGACGGAGGCAGCGAGAGAGGCTTTCGGGGAACCCGCCGCAGTGGCACAAGTGGCGGCACCGCGGGGCCGCGGCAGAGAGAGAGCGAAAGAGCAAGCCGGTGCACTGACACAGGTGAGGAGGCGGTAGACAGGCAGCAGGGCCAGAGAGCGACGGCCCCACGCCACCGCATCGGGCTGTCAGGGGCCGATCCAGGCGAAGGACCCACCAAGCGCAACAATGCGCAGGTGCACTGAGACAGGTGAGGAGGTGGCAGACAGGCAGCAGGGCCAGAGAGCGACGGCCCCACGCCACAGCAGCGGGCTGTCAGGGGCCCGTCCAGGGCCCCTTCCGGTTCAGAGCTAGGCGGGGCGCGCAAAGCACGAATTGGGGAGACAGGGCGCGCAGGCGAAGGGCCCGCCAAGCGCAACAGTGCGCAGGCAGGGGCGCCGGCGCAGCGGAGCAGCAGGAGAGGGGGACAAGCGAGGTCGGGGCGCAGTACAGCAGCAGCAGCGGAGAAGAAAGCAGTGGCAGCAGGGGGGCAGCCGCTGAGGCCCCGAGAAGGCGGAGAAGAGAAAGCGAGGGCCCCAACGGAAGAAGTAGCTAATGGGGCAGCATCGGAAAGCTGCGGCGCGCAGGAAGTACGGGGACCGCACGGTCAGAGTGGTATTGACACTGGTGCTGGCCGCGGTGGGTGGCTGTGGCGGCGCCTGCATCCGATCGCGAGCCGTGGCCGTGCAGCCCGGGGCTCCTCCCCCCTCCTCCTCCTACTCATCCTCCTTCCTCTCCTCCTGCTCCCCGTAGCCATTTTGGCTCAAGACCCATGAGTTGGCGGGCTGAGCCCGCATTGGCTTTCACGGATACCGCTAGTCCGCGGCTGTGCCAGGGCGCTTGCGCCCGACATCTGCTTTTGCCTGTGCCGAGGGGTTGGGCTCCCTCCCAGAAGAGTCAGACGCGGGCGCCAGCATGGCGCCAGGGCCGCCGCCGTCCGCCCCTGCGGTGCTCCGCGGGCCGCGGCGGCCCACTTGGGCATGTGGGCGGTGCTCAGCCTCGGCGAACTGGGCATCGCGCATCCGCTGTCAGTGTGGGAATGAAGCGCCGTTACGCATCAAGAAGGCTGCTTGGACCGCTCACCAAGAGATCCTTTCCAAAGGTGACTCCTCAGGTGGGAAAGGACGAGAAAGCGGCAAGCATAATGATGAAACGAGTAAGCGTCTGGAGGCCATCGAGAAGCTTCTCCTCGGCAGGGGCGCTCCATCCACAAGTGCGGTGCCTCCGAAGGTCTGGCCAGCGCCAGGCGAAGGGGTACCGCCGTGGAAGCAAGAACCTAAAGCAGATGGCAACAGCATGGACACGGAAGAAGATGATTCTACCAAGCGTACGAGGTTATCGATATGAGTCCATCCTCAAGGCGCTTCCTGGCGATGAGAGTGACCAGGTCCAGAAGGCTACGAAGGACAATTTGGCTGAGCTGCGCGAGCAGCACAAGGCATTGCGGACTCCTACGCAAGCCCACCGCCGTGCACAGCAAGATTTGGAAAAAGCTAAGTTACACAGTGCGAAGCTGGAGAGTGGGATCAACGAGAAGGAGCAGCAGATTGCCAAGATGCAGGAAACTTTGGAATCTCGACGTGCGCAGCTCCAAGCTAAACGTGCTGAGGCCGCTACCCCGGAGGCGGAGTTCAAGCGCACGGCGGCATTGGTCGGCCATTCTGCCCCAGACGATGACGCCAAAGCTGCACCCAACTTTGACTTCGATGTCAAGGCCTCGGACGTCAGTGATGGCGATTTGCAGTCCTTCCTCGGGTCCGAGCTGTGGACGAAGTTGCAGTCGGTGCTCAAGAGCAAGTTCGCTGCTGCGTCCCCTCCAGCTCCTGCTCGTGACGATGGCGAGTCTAGTGCTGGGGGCGGGGATGAGTCTGGCCCCAGTGAAGCTCCCAAGCGCACCGTCGAGGACCTGTCCGACGAAGATAAGCAGTATCTCTTCGAATCTGATGCTTTCGAGGATTTCAACACCAAGCTGGGAGAGTTCGCCAAGCGACAACGACGCGGGTAGCGCGTACGAGATGATGTGCAGGGTGATCTCTGGCATCGGTTCAGTTTCATTGTGCGCTGCGAGGAACGCAAAGTCTCTGCTCTCCTCGAAGCCCACCCTACCAAGGTCACAATTGTTTTCTGAAATGGTGGATTTCTCAGATGCAGTACTACCGCCTGTCGGCACGCATTGTGGCTCGGTAGGTTCCTGCGACTCGCCCGCAATGAGGGTAGCTGGGAGTAGCGGGTACCGACCATCCACGGATGGCACGCACTGCTCACTCTCTGGACCTCGCGGATCAACTGCAGGGATCAGTGGCGGGTCGCAGTGCCGATCTTCAGGCTTGGCAGATGGTTTTGTGGCTGTGAGAGTTTCTGGCGCACCTGTATCGACGACTGGAAAGACGAAGCCCATACTTGCACCACCTTCGCAGAGCACGTACCTGTTTGAATCTTTCAACGCAAATGGTGGTCGCAATACGCTAAAAGATCGAGTGAAACGTTCATGTGCGCACGTAATCCTGGCTCAAGAGATTGGGCATGATGCATCCAACGCCGAGTCCTGGTACACGTGGGCGCACAATCGTGGATGGAAGTTGATTGCAGTTCCTGGTGTGGCTACTGGAGGTAATCCGTCTGCTGGAATAGCGGTGTTTGCACGTGCTGAGCTTGGGCTGCGCAAGCCCGAGCCTGGACAACACGTTCTGTATCCACATCGACTGCAGCATGTGATGGTATACCTCCCTGGATGGCCAGCTTATCATGTGCTGAATGGATATCTCAAGGGCTCCATCGGTCCCACGGGCATCAACTCCACCATCTTGGCCAAGCTCGGGCAATGTTTCTCCGACTGTCGTGGGCCTCGTATTGCTGGATGTGATTGGAATATGTCTGTGGCAGAGCTGGAGTCTACTGGTTTTCCTCGCACGGCAAAGGTCACCATGGCAACGCCAACTCAAGTTACATGTCGAGCAGGAACGGGATCCACGACTATCGACTACTTCGCCCTAAACGATGTGGCGGTGCGTGGTTTCAGAGGTGAGCAAGCTGAAATGCAATGGGCTAAACGACCGCATCGACCTGTGCTGCTCAGTATCGTGGACAACGGATACAGTATTCGTCACTTCGTGTACACCATTTCGCCATCACTGCCGTCGGCTCCAGTGATAGGACCTACTGCAGCCCCAGCTGACTGGAGCACTCACCGCG